TTCTCTTGTAGAAAGCAGCCTCCTTGAGAGCAGGAGAGCAGCTGCTGTGTGGTGCTGCAGGGCATTTCTCCCAGCTGAGATCCCTGAGCCCACGCTGGCGGAGGACGTGCTGTGCCATCATCTCTTCTGCGGTGCCGCTTTGCAGCTGCTCTGTGTGCTGGCTGTAATCGTGCTGCTTTCCAGGTGCCATAAGCCAGTAAGTCGTGCTCTCTGAGGCTGATAGAAAGGCACGGGCAATGGGCAGGGAGGGAACAATCTGCAGCTGTGGTCTACGGTGCTGTGCCCAGCACTGCTGAGAGTGCCGTCGTTTGTCCTGCCCTTCCTTCCATTGCGCGTGTTCCTGATGCGCGCCAGGAGCCTTGGGGTGCTGCTCATCTGCTGTGCTGTGCTGTGTGTGCTGCCAGGCAGTGTCCAAGCCCTGTGCAGGCGCTGCCCTGCAGGAGATGGCTTTGGGTTCTGGTTTATGTGGGACTTTTGGGCAGGAGATAGAGGGGAGTTTCTGGCGTGCCCTGATGTCAGGAAGGCGGTTTCCAGTGCTGGCAGCCAAAGCTGCCCGGGTGGTGACTTGAGCTCCCCATGCGAGCCGTCAGCCACTTGTTAGCTGTGAAGGTTCCCTGACCGTTTGTGCCTTGATTCTTGTAGGACTGGCACAGTCTTGGGACTCGGTCTGGCGAGGCAGTGAAGAAAGCCAAGGCAAGAGCTGCTCTGCTGAGGAAGAAAGCCCAGAAGGAGAGCAAAAAGAACCAGCAGGGCTTGAGCGAGAAGGCCCACAGGACACTGGGATCAGCTGGAATGCTTCCTCGGAGGTGGCACCAAAGGCAGCGGACTGAGTCCAGTTTTGTGGCATGGCCGTGCTTTCTCTGTCACGGACAGGGCAGCGGAACTGAGGCACCTGGAAGGGAAGGACTTGTGCTGCATTCCAAGCAAGGAGGGCTTGCCAGAGGCAGGTCTTCAGCTATGGCAAGAGGTGGAGAGGCTGTGTTCCTTCAGGCTGCGTCTCTTCAGGGCCAGAGCCGGTCTAGTGTGAGATAGAAGTAGGGCTAGCCGGGCCTGGAGGGAGAGGAGCTGACGTAGCCACAGGGTCAGGCTTCTCCTCGTGTCTGCCTGGAGGCTGATTGACTCATTGCTAAGCAGAAACCCTGGGCGCTGGGGTTTCATTTTGGGCTGTGTTGATAAATACAACCCAGAGCCTTTTGCATTGAATAAAAGCGAAACCAACTTTTTCCACACAGCGCTGCCTCTTTCCGTAGCTGGTCAAAAGGTCCCGTGCTTGGGCTGGCAATCGTGGGGCCATGAACCGGTCGGCTCTGCCCTGAAATTCTGCTGGTTTTCCCCCGTTTCCTTGGTGGTCTTCCCAACGGGTGGCCTTTCAGCCCACCTGTAACTGCTGGCCACAGGCTGTGAGCCTGCCCTTGCTCTCCAAGGACCGCTAGCAAAAGCACGAAGGAGGGGAAGCGGCCCGGGAGGAAGAAAGGCGTCCCTGCACTCAGCCCCTGGAGCTTGCCTCTCTTCCTGGTGGCTTTTTCAGCCCTGCGCTGTGCTGAGGGTTGCTGTTTGCCCCGGGAAGCCCAGCTGCACGCAGGCAGCCTTGGGCTGCACATCAGCCTGGCGTTGGGGCACAAGGAGTGGAGGTGTGGGGGGGATGGTGTCTCACTCCAATTTATAGGAGGGAGAAGAGGTTCTTTTATTATCTGTATACCCAGCGTGAGATTAAGAAGCAACGGTTCCAATGTTGGTCCGAGCAGTTGATTACAAATCTTAATCAGGGAAATGGGGAAGGGGAGGACGGACGCTATTATGAATTAGGGTAATGGGGAAGGGAAGGAGGGCGATAGAAAAGATAGAAGAGAATAAGCAAGGAGTCTTTATGGGCAGCAAGAGGGACACAGTCACCACCATGGATCCAGCGTGGTTCGTAGTTCAGTCTTTGACCTTCAGTAGTGGTGGGTCGTCAGGCAGAGTTGTTCTGTTGACAAAGACAACGACGAACGAAGGACAACGACAACCATGGTGATGATGGCCCCTTTTCAATGGTTTCAAAGTGGTTGAGTCAGCT